GAGTCCCCAAATCTCCCTATCCTGTGCTCCCCTTCTTCTGGCATCCCGATTTTCGCATTGAAGTCACCCTCGACAAACTTATAGAAGGAGTTTTCTTTGCGAATGACTTCTCCAAATCCTCATAAAAAGCATCAAGTTTTGAATCATCAGCTGCTGATGTTGGAGAATAGCAGTTGATGGTAGTGACGGTTTCCTGATGCAGAGGACGGAGTCGAAAGATAGCCAGGCGAGGTGATAGGATCTCATGCGAATCGACAAGATGGACAACAGATGAGTGTACCACAAATCCAACACCTCCAACGTTCCGTGATGGAAACTTTTCACCACGAATAATGAGTGTGCCATCACTCAGCTGCTTCACGTCCGTCTTTCTGGACTTTGTCTCCTGCAAGGCAGTTATGGTAGTTGATGCGCCCTGCAGCTTCGAGAAGGGCGTGAAGATCGGCGTTGGTGGAGACTGTCCTGGCCTTGTAGGTGTAGAGCATGAGACAGTCTCCATGGCGAGTTGTTGGCATGTCCTCCGAAATTCATGGCGTCATGTGCAACCTGACACTGGTCTTGATGATATCCGACGCCGTAAATGTGATCCAATGTGCAGGGCTTCTTTTCTCTTATATGCTTTACGGGCAATGAAAAGAGGGGTTTCTCAAACATTAGCAGTGCCTTGCCAGGGCCCTGCCAAGCTTTCACCACAAGCAATCGCTAACCTTATGTGGATCAGAGAGCCACCTAGCGACAGCCAGACGGTGGCTTCTGACATGGCCTACTCTTAGCTGAGCATCCGGGGAACCGGAGAAGTCGAACTCCTTCTCAGCTTGGAAGGCTCTGCTGGAGGATAAACCTCCACTGTACTTCGCAGTTCGACACCTAGATCAACCCCGCGCCACAATGAGGCGGTAGGCCATTACGGGGAAGTTTTCACAATTCTTCCAGAAAACTTATAGAATGGAAAGCAGGTTAGAAATTAGCATTTCAACTGCATCTAGCAGTTTGCATCTCTTTTTAAATCGCCACTCAGCCATGTATCCTTCCCTTGTAAGTGTGCTTTGTGGTTTAGTAAGCAATACTATTATGAGGACATCGTATCTGTCCCAGCTATAAGATACTTCCATGGAATTATGAATATGGCTTAGAAAACAGATGCAATTGTCTCCAAGCTAAA